GGCGTCGGGGAACCGCAGCCTCAGCTATTGCGCCCCTGCCCGGACGCCACGCCCCCCACGTGCAGCTTGGGGGCGGAGCCTGCAGCTCGAGTGAGAAACGAAACAGAATGTTTGTTGTTGTTTTTAGGGGGCGGAATCGAAAAGGAAAAGGAAACTAACGTGACTCGGCCGGCGGCCAAAGGCAACAGGTCGTTGGCTAGGGTAAAGGCCGGTGGGCTGGACTGAGAAAGTTCCCGGGCGTGCAGCGGCCACCTTAACTCCTGGACGGAATGGCTTTCGAGGAAACGCTACAGTTCCACTAGGAGGCACCCTGACACACGCATTTCCAGAGGGCGGGATAAGGGAAGCCAAAGTTTGTTAAGCGTTGTGCGCCGCGGCTGGGCGTGGTGATTCACGCCTGTAATCCCAGCACTTTGGGAGGCTGAGGCGGGCGGATCACGAGGTCAGGAGATCGAGACCATTCTGGCTAACACGGTGAAACCCCGTCTCTACTAAAAATGCAAAAAACAAAATTAGCCGGGCGTGGTGGGGGGCGCCTGTAGTCCCAGCTACTCGGGAGGCTGAGGTGGGAGAATGGCGTGAACCCGGGAGGCGGAGCTTGCAGTGAGCCGAGATTGCGCCACTGCCTCCAGCCTGGGCAACAGAGCGAGACTCCCTATCAAAAAAACAAACAAACAAACAAACAAGAGGGTTGTGCGCGGGGCTCAAACCGTGATAAAACTGGGCAGAGCTATGCAGTCAGCCACCCCTCCCCCACCCCTTTCGCGCCTGCTCAGCTATGTACTCCTGGGTGCCTGGCAACAGTGGTGTGCTTTAGGCCTTTTCTAGAATGCATGCAAACGGAACCATACCTAAGTGATGTCTGGCTTTTTTAAATTAGCACAATGCTTTGAGGTTCATCCTATTGTGTTTAATTAGTAATTCCTTTGTGTTATTGCTGAATGGTAGTGTATCGTGTGGATATGCCACAGTTTATTTATCCATTCACCAATTGATGAGCCTGTCGATTGTAGGAAACAGGAGAAAACTTCCCCTTTGCCCTCTGAAGGGTCACCGAAAATCAACTGACAAGGCTGGGCCTGGGCTCCTGCCTGTAATCCCAGCTCTTTTTTAGGCCGAGGCAGGAGTATCTCTTCTTTGTGTAGTGTGTATTCAAGTGTGTTGACCATTTATTTATTAGCTAGCTTGACTTACTATCTAAGAGTTCTTTATATATTATATTTGAGTTCTTTATATGTTTCATACCGTGTTCTTTATTAGCTATACGTTTTGAAATGGTTTCTACCTGTCTGTGGCTTGCCTCTTCATTTTAAGTGTCTTTTGAAGCACTGAAGTTTTAAATTTTGATGTAATTTATCCATTTTTTCTTTTACATAGCTCATACCTTTTTTGTCCTACTTAAGAGTTTTTGCTAAACTCAAGATTATAAGATTTCCTCAGTTGTTACCTTCTAGAAGTTTTATAATTTTTGGTTTCCATTATATTTAAAATGAATTATTCTTTATAGTATTGATAGATGCAGGAGACAGATAAGGGAGGGTCCCTGGAGAATCTCTGACCTGCCCCACAAGCTTTTGTGCAGCTGAGGAAGCCTGCCCAGGGTCTTGTCTGGGCATGCCCACAAGGCACTTGGGGGCCCACCTGCACTGGGAGAGTGGGTTGCAGCCACAGGGAATTCAGCCTTATGCAGCAGGGAGGAGCAAGACGTCTTCAGCTTGTGTGCGTAGACCTATTATTCAGTCTGTGAGCTGGGAGTCTTTTAGCAGGACCCTCCTTGTTTTTTTGCTGAGAGCTTTCTTTTAATAAATGCCACTCTTCACCTTTCAATGTATTCATGTGCCTAATTGTTCCTGGTCATGAGACAAGAACCTGGATTTTAGCTGAGCTAAGAAGCAAAAATTCCTGCATCAGTGTAAGGTAAGAATAAAGCTTCATTTTTTTTCTTATGGATTTCCAGTTGTTCCAGCTTGCCTATTCCCATGGAATCCCTGTCAAAACTCAGATGGCCGTATATTATAACCTCAGAGCCCAAACTGGCCTACTGTCTTGATAACAAAATGGCCAGTTACCTTGTAGGTATAACAGAGCCAGAACTTCAAGTCATGTAGACTGGGCATGTGCCATGGAAAAAGCTTTGACCTCTAACAATGAAACGGGAAAGGTTCCCTTGTCCCCTTTGTAGGGCGTGCGAAGTGGGAGTGGCTCACTTCTTCAGTGCCCCACTGCTCACACCTCTAGGGGAGCATACAGACAGGCAGGTTGTGGGGCTCTGACCCCACGCCAGTGTCTAGGGATGGATGTTTACTGCTCCTGAAGCACCAGTGGGCTGTGCTACTGTGTGCTTTTTTAGTTTTGCTGTCTATAGGCACTTGTGTTAACCAGCTCAATTAGACCCTCCATCTTGTCACAAGGACAGAGGGCTTTCTGTATCCTGGGTACTTGCCTTGGTGTACCAGAAGAATTGGATCACATGTGGGCTTGGAGAATGAGTGCAAGGTTTTATTGAGTGGAAGTATCTCTCAGCAGATGGGGAAGCTAGAAGGGAGTTGGTTTTCCCCTGGAGTTGAGGCGCTCAGTGGCCCGGGCTGTCCTCCGACTGCCCTGGCCAAACTCCGCATTGTTCTCCTGGTCAATGGCCTGCCAGTGCTAGTGCCTTCAGAATGGTTCTTGCCACACAGTACCTACTGTAAGTAATTATTCAATGAATTAATGAATCCCTTAACATTCAGATTTTTGAAATAAATTATTCAGCAGTTTGCTAAAATAAAAACTCTAGAGATATTCCTGAATATAAAATATATATCTAGCAAGGTTAGGGATATAGGAAATACTGCTTTACATAATATTGTTTTATTAAAAATATTATTCTTGGCTCACACCTGTAATCCCGGCACTTGGGAGGCAAGGCAGGAGGATTGCTTGAGCCCAGGATTTCAAGACCAGCCTGGGCAACATAGTGAGACCCTTGTCTCTTAAAAAACAATTATTCTTGATTCATCACTTTATTATTTATCCAAACATTTTTCAACTAGTTCTCTTTTTTAAATTGTAAATTGGCAATTTATAATTGTATACATTTATGGGGAACAAAGTAATCTTATAATTTATGAATAACAATGTGAAATAATTGAATCAAGCTAGTTCCCACATCCATCACCTCAAATACTTAACAATTTTTGTGGTGAAAACATTTCAAATTTAATCTCTTAGGTATCTTGAAAAGTACAATACTGTATTGTTAATTATATTTACCACACTGCACAATGGAACTCAAAAAAAAAAGAACATATTCATCTTGTTACCAGGTTAAGTGTTCTGATGGTAAGGTGTCCAGGTTCTTGGCACATTGAACAAAGAATTGAACAACACACATGAACAAGCAGTGAAGGAGTGAATTTATGAGAGTGGAAGACAGTGAAGGATCAAAGGCAAAAGTACATTCCACAGGGTGGGAGCGGACTCAAGCAAGTGATTCAAGAGCTGTGGTAGCAAAGTCTTCTGGGGCTTTAGTACCCTCTAGAGGTTTCTTGTGGGTTATATCCTATGTAAATGAAGGATTGGGTTGTGACCAATTAGAGGTCGAGGTGAATTGGCCCATGGAAAATCCAAGACTGGTATGGTTTGATGCCTTATGCAAATGAAGGTCCTGGAATGGACCAATCATTGGCCAGAGTGCAGGTTCGGCCTGTGGCCAATCAGAGCCTGATGTGGTTTGGAACCTTATGCAAATGGAGATCCTGGAATGGACCAATCATAGGTCAGTGTGCAGACTCTTCAGCTCCATGGAGTCTGTCCAAGTTATCCTTAGATTCCCTATCTCCGAACCCTGTTCTTCTGCCTCATTTTCCCCCTGAGAGACATGATCCCTAGAAATCTTTATGGGAGGCAGAGGGAGTGATGGTCTTTTCTTCTGTAACTGCTTCCTGCTGATTTACACGCTGGTCCTACCTACTGGGGACCACAGAAGTCTCTCCCTGCTTTGTCTTGTGGAGACAGGGTAACCTTTTGATGGCCAGAGGTGGTGCCTTTACCTGACACTGGCTGGAAACCTTGTCGCACATCATCTGAAGCTAAATGGTTTCTAGGCAAGAGAAAATGAACTTGGTTAAAAGGTTTAGCAAACATGGTCCAAAGACCAGGGCCAGTGTAGCCATTAGCAAATGGTCTGGCTAGGGGATGGAGCCATGACCCCCAGCCCAGCAGCCTTGACCAGGAGCCCCATGATTCCGACAGCTGTTGTCGTATCTTAGCGGCCCAGTCAGCTAGTTTTCAGGTGGCATCCCTTACTATTCCTGATTGGTTGACATAGAAACAGCATTCTTCCTCTAGGAAAAGACATAAGCCTCCCTTCTCAGTAGTTACAAGGTCTAGTCCCCTTCTGTTTTGCAAAGTGACCACTGCCAGGGAGCCTATTTGATTTTGTATAATGACAATACTTTGAGCAATGTCATCCAAGATTTCCATGAAAGCATTGGACAAACTCTGGTAGTAGGATAGGGAGGTTTCCAGCCTGTTAACTCCTGTTCCTATTCCTGCTGTTACTCCCAGCTCTACTAAAAGGGGTATGATGAGTTGGATGGCTTGCTTGTGTCTGGTGGTTGCAGTCAAAGGTATAGTGAGAGATTGGTTATTGGGAGCTATATTAATTTCAGGGGCTAAATAAACAAGTGTACAAGTTCCAGTCCAATTGGCAGGTAAACGTAAGTAGGAGCTGGTCCTGTACAGGAAAAAGGCTCCCTGTTTTTCAAAACAGAAATTGTTTTCTGTGGTGAACATATGGGTTAAAGTTGGGTTGCCCCAGTGGTTTTATTTTCCCGGTGGAGGTAGCTGCTTTTGGTGTCCACCAATAACCACCCGGGGGTATTTTCTTATTGGGGAACCAAAAGACAGCTAAAGATTTCAGGGCTAATGCAGTCTTCCCAAGGAAACGTGTGGACACAGCTAGTGGGTTTCCCTTAACAGTATTTAGACCGAATATCTTTTAAGGTGCCCTTAAGTAGGAGTGGTTTCCATGAAAACCAAACAGGTTTTCTAAATCACGTAGTTTGGATAACTGTGCAATTTACATGATTGTGTGAGGGATTAATCTCCAGGGTGTAATTGCACTGATTACTTTTCAAGGTCCCCAGGACCTGACTGGACTTTTGGCTCCTTTTGACACAGAGTGTACCTGGAATTCTAGCTCTGTGTGTGTTGATATTGGGCCCCAGATGGATTTTTCTGAGGATGTAACCCTAGAGAGGTTGCTCTGATAAGACTGCAGGAGGTTTACTGCTCATCCTGTCAGTGTAACCTTTGTCATGTCTGTAA